ATATATATATTTATATACATTTATTTATAATATATTTTATATTTTATATATATTATGTTCATATGTGAATGTATATATTACATGCATATCCTCAGTAAACCGGTACATATACCTGTGTGTGCAGGCGTATAGCGTATATACTCGTAGGTAGCTATGTGTTCATGCTCATTGCGTCCATGTGCACATATCCTTCTGTCGCTGTATTTCTGCAATTGAGGTCCTGTATTGCGCTCGTGTGTCTTTTCTCTTTCAGCTGAGACTGATTCAGTCGATCTCAATGAAAGCAAAGTTTTGAGGTTTATGATCAAGAGGAAGCACCCGCTCTTGTTCTAGTGTCTCGTATTATACCTACCACTGGTCACCCACTCTTGTTCTAGTGTGTCATTTTCTACCTACCACTGGTCACCCACTCTTGTTCTAGTGTCTCATATTCTACCTACCACTGGTCACCCACTCTTGTCCGTAGTTCTATAAGAAACACAACCGATCGGTGGCGCAGGAGATGTGTGCCGTGTACGTCGACACGCTTCAGAAAATCTACTTCTCGCTCTTCAAGCAGTATCTGAAGAAGCTGACCGCATTAGGAGTATGTGTGGGTGTCTTAGGGTTTAGGGTTTATGGTCCACTGTGATAAGACATGTATGTTTCAATTATGTTGTGTTTGTGATCGTCTCTCCTGTGTTACTGTGATAAGACATGTATGTATCAATTGGGTTGTGTTTGTAATCGTCTCTCCTGTGTGACTGTGATAAGACATGTATGTTTCAATTATGTTGTGTTTGTAATCGTCTCTCCTGTGTTGTTTGGTCTGTGCTTGTGTGCCTCTGTAGTAGCGTGTTCCCAGGGCCACTGGTCCAGCACTAGTCCAACGCTTAGCACATGTCCCTTGAACACTCGTTCTTTGTCCACATCCCAACTAATACTGTCTTAATGTGTCCCAATTAATACTGTCTTAATGTGTCCCAATTAATATGTGTGTTCCTATTATTACTGACCTTATGTGTTCCAATTAATACTGTCCTGATGTGTCCCATTTTTATTGCCCTGGTCATCTTATCCTTATTTAGATTGACGAGGTGGCTGATAAGGATGATCTTATCGGCACTCCCGAGGGCACCAAGCGCATGTTCCTCACTTCTCGCTTGGCGCAGAAACAGAACGTCTTCACTTTGGGCGAACGGGCGCAGGTGTGTGCTTCAGGTTCAAGCGATTGTGTCTCTGTGTCTTTGTGAGAGGGTTTAGGGTTTATGCGGCACTGGAGGCGTTGTTGTTGTTTTTCTGCTTGCATATGACAGCGGAAGTGTCTTCCTGCGCGTGTGACTGTGTGTGTGTGTATGACTATGCGTGTGGCAGTGTGTGTATAGGTCTGTGCGTGTGGCAGTGTGTGTGTACATGTATGTCTTTTGTGACGATGTGAAGTATATATATGTATATGATCGTTTCGTTATCTTTTTATTTCATTCGCATTTGCATATACCTGCAAGTATTTAATTCTATGCTGATATATGCATGTGTGCGTGTAGGTAAAATACACTACACTGACATTATTTGCCCATTGATACATAAAGTGTTTATTCATACATACTTAGCATATTTATTTATACATAGTTTATACATTTCTTCATGTGTTATTTATGCGTTTATCCATACATCTTGACATATATATTCTATATATTGAAAGTATTTATTCATAGATTTTATATATATTTACTACAATGTATTAAAATACTATTTTATATATTTGTTATACATAAAATATTTGTTATACATATTACGTTTATTTATTCATAATATATATATCCATCCGTACATATAGACACTGGTATGTATTTTATATATCCATCCATACATATAGATATTTATACATATCTAATATATTGATTCAGACGCATTATATATTTGTGTTCCGACATATATAATTTCCAATTCATGCATGTTCTATATATTGAATCATACATATTATATATTAATATTCAGGCATATATTTTATTTTTAATTCACGCATGTTCTATATATTATATATAGTATGTTGATATATGCATGCGAACATTGTGTCCAAGCCAACACCACAACAAGTATTTTATCAACACATTGGAGGTCTGTGATCCACAGTCAACTTATTATCTCTATACTCCCGGCGTGTCCATATCTACAAATATCTGTGCGTTGTTCGTGTGCAATCCATTCGCACGGCTATATGGGCTCACTTACCTTAACATCTCAACCGTGATTGTTTGTACCCGTCTGAATTGTGCTTGTTTGTACCCGTCTGGTTGTGAGGGGTCTGTTGCTTACAACAGTCTATTCCGCCCCTCAGATACTCGACAAGTTAGAGGAGACAGTCATCATCCCACACGTTGCTGCGAAGATGAATGAGAAGTTCTACATAGAGAAGCTTTTCCGGTCCTACAACTTCGCTATCCTAGACAACTCCTGTCACGAATACCTGTTTATAGTCCAGTTCTTTCAGGTGTGTAATGGAGGTTGGGCAGTTGTTATGTGGTGTGCGTGCTGGTGTGTAGTGTCGTGCTCTTTCAGGTGTGCGTGTTGGGTGTAATATGATGATGTATGTATTGTGTGTAGGGTGTACTATGATGATATATGTATTGTGTATAGTGTCTTATACTTTCAGGTGTGTGACGTAGGTTGGATAGTTGTTACTTGATGTGCCTGTGGGGTGTAATATGATGATGCATGTCTTGTGTATAGTGCCTTATTCTTTCAGGTTTGTGATGGAGGTTAAATAGTTGTTACTTGATGTGCCTGTGGGGTGTACTATGATGATATATGTATTGTGTATAGTGTCTTATTCTTTCAGGTGTGTGATGTAGGTTGGATAGTTGTTACTTGATGTGCCTGTGGGGTGTAATATGATGATGCATGTCTTGTGTGTAGTGTCTTATTCTTTCAGGTGTGTGATGGAGGCTGGATAGTTGGTACTTAGGTGTGCGTGCTGGGTGTAATATGATGATGCATGTATTGTGTGTAGTGCCTTATTCTCTCAGGTGTGTGATGGAGGTTGGATAGTTGTTACTAGGTGTGCGTGCTGGGTGTCTTATGAGGATGCATGTCCTGTGTGTAGTGTGCTATCCCCATTCTGTACATAGTCATAATTGTGTGCACGTGTACCTGATCTCTTCTACCACCAGGTCTGCTCCCATGCCGTGTCTCTGGTAAAAAATAGTCCGCACATGTGCTTCAGGTTACTGTGTGTCAGACTTAACACAAGAGCATCTGTTGAGGTTACTGTGTGACAGACCAACACAAGAGCATCTGTGTGAGGCGTGCACTCCTGCCACCACGTTTAGAGGTGTAAAGTTTCGATATGCCGTCATCTGGTGGGCCAGTTTGTACGTTCCTGGACATACTATCCTTCTATGCCAATCAGTATACGTAAATGAATTCTACTCCGTATACACTGTCCGTTTGTGCCAATCAGTATACGTAAACGAATTTTAATCCGTATATGCCAACGGTCTTTGCTGATCGCCCTACTTGGCGTTAGTTTGATGGGGAGGTTTGTCCTTGCTCTCTCCCACCCACCTGTCTGACACATACACGTATACCCCCATTGGTCTCTCCTTGCTTGTTACAGTCACACGGTCCTACTAACCCACCTGTCTGGTACATACATATATACCCCCATTCGTCTCTCCTTGCTTGTTACAGTCACACGGTCCTTCTAACCCACCTGTCTGGCACATGCACATATACCCCCATTCGTCTCTCCTTGCACGTTACAGTCACACGGTCCTACTTACCCACCTGTCTGGCACATACACATATACCCCCATTCGTCTCTCCTTGCTTGTTACAGTCACACGGTCCTACTAACCCACCTGTCTGGCACATACACATATACCCCCATTCGGTCCTTGCTTGTTACAGTCACACGGTCCTACTAGCGAGTGTTTGGGATATATACACATCTATGTAAGTGGGATCATATATACACGTTCATGTAAGTGAGATCATATATACACGTCCATGTAAGTGGGATCATAGATACACGTCTATGTAAGTGAGATCATGTGAGTGAGATCGGTATGCTCTCTGTTACTTTAGCATGCGCTTTCGTATACACAACAGCCCATCTAAGTGTCCGCATGTCTGGCTGCCATTCTGATTCCTGCAGGTGAAAAGTAGCGCAGGCACGTTAGAGATATTCAAAGCCGTCATGGGCAAATCACTGCAGCTGTTTCAGGAGAACCTACGGGATATGCTCACCAATTCATTCGGTATGTGTGGGCATGACCCGTTTATGCTGAGCTTCAATCCGTTACTGTAAGTGAATAGTCTCCGGTGTATCTACACTGACCCATGCGCAATCTCAAACGCCTTCCGATGACGTACACGACTGCGCTATATTTACTTGTTTACGTATAGTACGTTTACTCACGGATGGCAGGCATAGTACACAGGACATGAATGGGCAAACATACTACATATACAATATAAGTGTGTGCAAAGTGAATTAACCAACAACCCCCCCTTGCGTGGGATCCCCACACATACAGACACCATCGGAGTACTGCTCTGCATACGCATAATACACTACTACCAGAAACTGGCTCACGCACGCTGCATGCCAGCACTCGAACGATACCACCAGGGCTTAGAAATGCTACTATGGCCACGCGTCAAGATGTTACTGGACATGAACACCCGCAGCATCAAGG